AGGCTCCTTCGTGGGTGCGGATGCCGGAGGCCCTGGTCTTGTTCTATCCAGGTGAGGATGGTGTGGGGGGGCTGGAGCGAGGATGGGTCATGCGAGGCTGTCATAGTGCTCTGAGGAGGACCATCCCTCCCCCCTTCCCTAATCTTCCGTTTCCTTCCCTTCCCGTGGCACCCACCGCGGGACTCCTCTCCTTCCCTCTTTCCCCCCCCCAGTCCTGAACTTCTGCCTGACGCCCTCCCCCTCCCGCTCGGTCCACATGGCCGACCCCCTCCTCCCCCTCGGCCTCTTCACCGCCGTGGCCGACGCCTACCTGCCCTCCCTCACGACGGACCCCTCCCGGGACCCGCTCATTTCCCCCTACTTCGCCCACGATAAGCTCCTCAGGTGCGCTGAACGCCTATCCCCTTATCCTCGAGCAGGCTTCCAGGCCTGCGTTGTGACCTTGCCCCCCGCCCTTCTTCCTGTCCACCCGTCTTCTCTTACCATCTTGGCGCCCCACCCTGCCTCTCCATGCGCTTTCGGTCGCCCTCCCTTTCCTTCCTCTCTCACATGGTTCGGAGGAGACCTCCTTCCCTGTTGCACCCCTCGCCTTGCCCCTTTTTATTTGCTTCGTCCTCCCACCTGATCTACCCTCCTTTCGCCTCCATTCCCCCAATCACAGTCGCTTTCCCCCCACTTTTATCGGTGTGGGCGGATTCGACCCCCTTCTGGATGACACGGTGGACTTCGACTGCCGTCTTCGCCACGTGGGCGTTCCCTCAACGCTCCGGGTGAGGGGAAGGGAGGGAGGGAGAGAGGAAGAGAGTGGGAAGGGAAAGGCCAAGAAAGGGCACAGAGTGCTGCGCAGGTTTTGACTGGAATATATTGATGAGTTCTCAATACCTTCACGCCTTCCATTACCTCTGTCTAGCTTGGGCGGGACTTGCCCCACGGCTTCCTCGGTCTCTACGGGCTCGACAGGGCTGCTACTGCCATCATGGAGGAGGCAGGCCGCTTCCTTGCCAGAGAGGGAGGGGGGGATGAGGGGGTCAAGGGGGGCGCC